AAAACCATGTGCAACAGCGTGGACTAACAGACAAGCTTGCATGGTCATGCGACCCTTCGGAACACCTTGCGAATATCGCAGACAAGCACAGCGACAAATAGCAGCCGACATGGCCGCATGTCCAGTGCGGAGCGTCGTGTGTTCGTCTGTCAGCATACCACTTCTTACTGTAAGCGCGATACTGAATTTCAGTTTGAGCTGCCGGAACCGGTCGACAAAGACTAGGTCGGTGCACGTGTCTGTTCCGCGAGACTATACCCATGATTTTGCTAGCTCTCCGAGCTGTCCGATTGAGAAACAGGAGCGATCGAATAGAATAAACTTCGATGCCTGGAGTGAAACATTGCCGTGAGACATCCAGTGCAGCCATGGGATGGCGAACTACTCCGTTGGCCCAGACCAGAGAGGAATACCCTTCCTGAATCCCCAAGCCCCTAGATCACTTGATACAACCTTCCTTTCCGAGACCCGCCCCTTGACATCTACACTGTCAAATCCCGAAGCTCAAAAGCTTGTTGTGGGAATGGCTGAAGCTGCAGATTTTAAAATTTATGGTCTGCGACTCACGGTTTCGCGCAATTTGTGGAAAAGGGAGATTGTTTTCAGCAATGACCAAGAAAGAGCAATAGAACCATGAACATGGCCTAAAACAATGATTCCCGCCTACTTGAAACGAATCCACAACACGAAATCCTGCCCCACTCTTCTGGTGCTTCCAACCGCCCAACCCAACAATCACACCCTGTGGCATTCTGACATTCGCCGTCCCAAGCTCGACCTACTGTGAGCTCGGTTTCGCAGCTTGCCTCCCCGTTTGACACATCCTGATAGGGTCAATCCAGCATGCCTCAAGCTGTGCTAGGGGGCGAGTGGTTCAAGAGTTCGGGTCGTTTTTAGGTGTGAAACCATGGGGCTGCGTAGATCTGATTTCGGGCAAAGCTGTTGAAGCCGAGTGTGCATGGGCATCTCAACATGCGGAGCACGAAGTACACGGCTTTGGAACTTGAAAGTGACAAGTGACTTCTGAAAACCTGAACCTTAAAGCCCCAGGAATCCGATCCCCGGAATACCTTGATGACGCGCGCGAATGACTGATGTGACCTGCCTATGGGCTTACACGGGAGCTCGGCTCCGCCATGGTGAGCTGCGCTATGTTCAGTTCCTCGACCCTTCCATCCGCCGCGATCGGGCCTGGAGTGCAGATGAGAGCGAGACAAGGAGAGAGAGAGAGAGAGAGAGAGAGGGCGAGGGAAGACAAGAGCAAGACAAACAGACCGACAAGCAAACAGAGGGATGATACATGTATTGTTTTGGAACTGTCCATCAAACCAGTTCAATCTGTTTCAAAAATGGTTGGATGCTAGAGTCCTGAATTTCAGGGATCCATGACTTTGGCTTAGGGCTGCCGGGAGCAATATGGAGCAATTCCCCCTCAAGACGCTCTATCTTTCTGTATACAGAACCCGCTTTTGGTCCGGAAGCCCAGTCCAACAGTTGTCCCTTACCTTCAGGCTGGCTTCCAAATCACAGCCTGATTGCGAGGCCTTGTACAGCATGTGGATCTGCCGCCGCTGGGACTCGATCCCTTCCTGAAGGGCCAGTAAGCTATGCGCAGGATGACGCACTGCGTGCAACGACTGTCCTAGAAAGGTGTAAACCAAGGAATGTCAAAGCATTGCCGACATTACTTACTGCTTCTTGCTGGTTCTGTTTGGTGTTTATACTGCCATCCCACCTGCGCTGTAACTGCTCTTCATTGCTCCTAGATCGGTTTCGATGTTGACCTGGTGTGAGCACTATTGTTTGTACTCCGAGTGCTGCGTCTTGCTTGTTTTGCCAGCCCCAATACTTGGCCATTCAACTTATTTTGTAAACCCGTCAACACTCACAGCACAATCCTATCCACAGAAACCACTTCGTTGGGGCTGCTCTGTTTCCTGCCACTCTGAGCAAGCAAGTTCTCTTCTGTAGCCGCTACTTTAAGCTCAAAAGTTTTAATGGGTTCAAATGCTTCAGGCCTGTGTGGTTACGCATTTGACGGCTTCAAGGCTTCTCCGTCTTTACCAGTCTATGGCTCACGGTTGCTCGAAGTGGTGTTTGTCTAGACCTGATCCAGGAGAGCGCTTCGTGGACTCACATAACTCACATCTCGCGATATACGTGAAGCCACAATCAAGTACTATCAGGTATGTCCATCAAGATGCCCGACATATACACTCGCGAATATGTCTAAAACGCCCTTTCTGCACTCACAGAACTCCAACATACGGATGCATGGCGACATCTGATTCCTCAAGCACTGGCCTACCACAAAGTTTCAGCTCAGAGCCCGTAGATCAGCATGCCCTTCACCAACACTAGGTGTAGAGTGTAGAATTTAGTGTGGAGTGTAGTCAAGGCATGCTGGAAGGTCAAAGCCTCCTATGGCAACGCAGCATAGACAGTGACCGTATAGTAGCTTCTACTGTTACAGCCCTGCAGGTCCTCGAGCATACCATCCAGCCGCTTGAGAATCTTTCGCATGCCTTAGCCGAGGACACAGTCTTTTGCTCAAGTTGTTCACCAAGAGAAAGAAATAGTATGAATGAATGTCATCTTTTCAATCATAGCAACAGTGTGTCTTGCCGCTCCCCCGGATTGAGGGAGCCTGTGCAAACATTGAGCATTCCGAGTTGTGACATCCTGTTACCGCCATCGGCATCGAGGCAGGTACTCAGCGCCAACAGTGGGGACTTGGGAACAACTTAATCACATATGTAGACGCATGCATATAGTCTTTGTTATCGGCGAGCTTTGCTATGGGCAAGCAAGATAGACTGATGGCCAGAATAAATGGATTGAGACACTGAAAAGCGAAAGAGGTCCATGGCTGGCAGCCTCTCTCAGATTCAGTTGTAAGCTCTTATAGTGTGCCATAAACGCCTGAAAGGCTGTCACAAAACCGCAAAGCCCATAAGGATGAGCAGCTTTTGAGCTTTTGCTTCTTTTCGCTGGCGGCATCCTGCCGAGTCCAATAGACTACTCTCAAGTCTATTGCGTGGGTGGGGGTTTCTTATGATACATGTTTCGATTGTAACGCGGATTCCTTTTTTGGGCTTTGGCATTTGGAGTCTATCTTCTGCTACTACTACTACTACTACTACTAGTGCTTCTACTACTCCTGGTGCTACTACTACTACTACTACTGCTACTATTACCACTACTGCTGCTGCTACTACTACTTCAGCTGCTTCTGGGATGGAAACGTCGTGAAAATGCAGCTCGAACCGCGGAGACAGAAATCATCGGCCTGGTAAAGCGTCCGACAACGTACCGGAAATCAACCCAAACAGACCAAACTCCGACAATATCATACTTTACTTTGTGTTGATCTTTTGTCATAGTGTATTGTACTAGGTTTTCTTGTATATCCTATCGCATGAAGTTAATGATAATGTCTCCCACGAAATCCTCCAGACTTGGCATTCTCAAGCCTTACACCGAAGGCTGCAGGCATCCCGGCAGGAAGAGACTGAGCCGGAGCAAAGTGCAACCCGCAACACAACGAAACCTTCTACAGGAAGAAACATGCCCTAAGAAACAACAGCTTAGCAGGGCGGAATAACTCCAAAAAACCCACACCCGTATGAACCACCAGGAAATCAAGATAGTAGTAAACAGATGAGTCCCTTCGACAAGCTCTGCGAAGCCCCAGTCAAAAAAGGCAGAACCCTTTATCCTAGCTCCATGAACCCTAAACCCCTCCTCTCCCATCACCTAAACGTGTCGTCCCTAAATAGACATTCACACCCCAACTCTAAACCCCACTAAGAAAAAAACAGCGAAAAAAAAGCCTTAAAGAAACGAGAACCAACCGCGTCCTTCTGGGCCGCAGCAGATACTACCTCCAGCTTGCTAGGCATCCGTGGAGTAGGTGTGCCTCGCGGAGTCTACATTGGCTTCAGCATTAGTAAGTGACTATAAGCGTCATAATCATGATTATCATTATTACGGTATGTCGTTAATACATAGGATAAACAGCAGCATTTTTGAAGTACTTAGCCAACGAGCACTCCAGGTTTAGGTATGGCTCGAGTTTAGAGTTCGGAATCCTCAGAAGAAGTTGGACTTTGTGCTCGGCTTCAGGAAGAACGGCTTGCATTCCAGGGCGTACAACACATGGGCTTCGGGTTTAGGTAAAGAGCACAGTGCTTGCCGGGTTAAGTTATAGGAGCCGCAATTCCTGATTGGGCTGGGTCTGGCTGAAGGGGTCGCCGAAGCCTCACATCTCCGAGGGGTTCGATTAATGCTCCTATAGCTATCAGTATTACCAGTGAAGTTATTGCTACCATAGTTATTACGTCTGTTGTGACAATGATCAACATATCTCTTGCTTTCCGTGTTTTTTTCTTTGTTGCTTCTATTTCTGGTGGTTCGAATATTTTTGCAACTCTTGCTTCGCGTTTATTTAAGGGTTTAGGGCTGCCAGGCTTGCAGTTAAGCTTACAAGGCTTAAAGCTTCAAGCAGTACAGGATTGCTCTAACTCCGAGGCGAGGTGTTTCCATCGGTGTCTGCGCTGGCACCTGAAGCAAAAGATGCAAAGCTGACGCCCCAACCCCTGAACAAACACGAATTCTAAACAGCAGCACATCCTGGCTTCTGGCAACACGCCGGCGCTAAACGTTATGCTTTCTCTTAACTGGGTTCGAAATAGTTAGTTAAGGTCACTCCAAATTAGAGCTATACAAGAGCCTGAGTGATTCGTAAACATACCCGCTCCTTGTAGTCCATGTACAAGTATACTATCCAAGCCCAATCCAAAACCCGATCCTCTTCATCAAGGCCCCGGTTTAGCTGTTCCAGCGGCGAGGCAATGGCTCCATCGAAAAAGGATCCGAAGTAGGCCAGTCCACTTGAAAAACGGCCCTTTTTCGGCAGCTCAAGGCGCCGTCTAAAACCCGGGCAAAACTCTGATGAAGCCTGAAAAAACCCCTTACGAAAACCCTTTAACCAAACACCTTTACAGCCGTCCCTTCGTCGCCGCACCTGTCGGATCCAGTGGATCACCGGGTGGCTCCTGGCAGCTCTGGGCAGCCGGGGGGGATGTGAGGGACACCGCCTTGGGCTTCTGGGTGAGAGTTAGACCGCTTTTGGAGGGGTTGTGTGTCAGCGTAAGGGCTGAAAGGAAGCGATGAAGATACAAGATTCTAAAGAGGGTCGAACACAGACTACACTACCCTCAGGCCTAGCAGCTGTTCGGATCGGCAGCACGCAGGGTGGGTTGGAAAGCCGGGAGCGGTACTAAGGGACGCCGCCGTTAAAGCACCCCCCACCCTCCCTGTTCCCCCTGCTAAGGCGATAGTACCCTCGAATCTGGTCACATTTAATTGCATCCACTAGTCACGCGGCATTTGTCGCACTGGCGCCGTCTGCCCATGTCCGAGGGTCTAGCCCCAGTGTGTCGTCTTGCTGTATCGTCTTATCATAACAGGCTGGCAGTTTAAGCCCCGCTCAGATCACTCACTCACTCACTCACTCACCCATTGACTCACTCACTCAGCCAGAGTTGAAAGTAGCACTGCATTAAGATGAAGGCCAAATGCCTTGCACAGGAGTAAGATTCATGCTGCAGAAGAGCGACAGGCCTGGTATGGCTCAGATTGCCAGAGTGGAAGCACAAGCTCCGAAGAAACAGCTGAGTTCACATGCCAAGGGGAAACCTCAACAACTGTCATCACTAGGTCCTTCCAAAGTTAGCACGAACGCCCACACCCCCACACCGCAGCCTGCGGATCCCCAAGCGTCAGCACCTGAGCGATGGAATGAAACTGATGAGGTACTTGTCAGGTGCAGGCTTGGGCTGTTTGTCCAGGTCCTTAGAGCGTTAGGCACTAAAGCTTAACCCTTGTGTATATTTCGAGATTCTGTAGATTTCCAAGAAAGCGTTGAAGGCTACATAGCTGCCTCAAGCCCCATGACCCAATGTACATGCTTGAATTATTAAACTAGGGTTTTGGAAGCATATATATATAAATATAAATATATATATATATACACATATATATACATATACATCTATCCAAGAACTGCTAAGGAATCCCCAATCGCGAGATTCCTGACTGCCCCCCGCCTCCGCGCCCGTATCTGCACGCCAAAAGGACGCCTGGGCGCCCAGGGGAGTGCCAGGTGTTGGGCCCAAGGTTTTAGGGGTTAGCGCAGGCTTGAGTCCAATGATGGGTCCCCAAGGAGCTTTGTTAGCCTTGGGAACTCAAGCTGACTAGACAACAGCAGCTAAATGACCTGCGGCTCTCGCAGGTACCTTCCCGCAACGGGTAGCTGGGGTTCATAGTTGATGAGTGCATGTATTATTGGCCCATCAGAAGAAGGTTCGTGTGCACCTCTTCGATCAGGCTTTCGAACTCAGAGCCCGAAAGCATGCTCGAGACGAGCAGAGGCTACTGCGGTTCGTCGCGCTTTTTATATCTGCAATCAGGGTTTTGATTTCCGTAGGGTGCCAGAGCACGGCATACACTGCTGCAGAACTCACCTCTCCGAAGTTCTTCTTTTTCCCCTCGCCTGGCAACGAGACTGCAGCTAAAGATCCATGAACACCTGCCGGCTTGAAAGATGTAATGCCGCGCCACAGTCAATATCTCCAAGGCCACTTGTGAGTTTCGAGGCAGGTTTCTGCATTAGAGAGAAGGGGCACTTGGAAGATGACACTAACACACCGCTTTACGCTGGCTTGCGGTCAGATACACGATCACTGCCGCGGCATGCAGACCGCCCCAAATCCACAAACTGAAGGTGCTCGCTTAGGAGCCTACAAGCTCAACAACGTTGAACCTCAAATCCCAAAGCCTGCCAGCATAGTTCAGGAGTGAAGCTTAAGAAATTCAGCGTGAAAGGCTTCCTGGTTAAGAGGGCGGAATTACTATGGAACTAGATAGCTAGAGAATTGTATGGACTGTCTTGGATGATTCCAAATTCCATGGCTTGAGGAGCTTGTCAAGATACAAGCATTCAATCTAGTACATGTATGCAGCGACTTTAAGCAGTGTGGTTAACCTTGTAGGAAATCCTGGGATCCCAGATTGGGAGCTGAAGAATCTGAGACCGAGCTCAGCGAAAATCGATATATCCTGCGCACCCAGGGAGCTCAAGACGCGTAGGTCTGAGTATCCCTAACTTGTCTGCACTTAAGGCACCCCTTTGTCAAGGCTTGGGCACCTTGAGCGCGCATGTGCAACTGTACCCGGTGTGGCATCCTTTGACTTTGTCCCATCTGTATCCTGCCTGCTTTGAGGGATGCTTAGAACCCAGGGCTTGGGGCTTATGGAGCCCTTCAGGGATGGTTGCTATGTCGAGATCAAACCCTAAACCCTCAACCGTATGATGCACTGATCAGCAAAGGGCCTCGTTAACCGTACACCCTCTTCGCCCTGAAACCCGGGGATCCTGAGCACTATCAAATCCAAAAAACCCTGAGATCGACAAAGCCTCAAGTACAAAATTCCGAAAAAACTCCTGAGCCCGAAACCCCAAAGCCCTATATATCCAAATAGACACTGCTCTACATCCTGAAATTAAAAGACCCTGCTTCCTAAAACCCATAAACTGTATGAGTTCTAAACCTCTAAGAACCTCTAAAGACCTTGGCCTTTCACCGGGATTTGCTACGGCCCCTCCCCCTCCGGCGCTCTTTCCGCGAGGTTTTCTTCGGAGGTGCTTCGGGCTCCTGTGAGGCTTCTTTAAATGGTGCTTTTTGTCTACCCGCTTATCTGAGTAGATCCCCTTCAAACGGGTAGGGTGTAGTGTTGCGTGTTGCAGGGGTTGGTATAGTTTTTGAACTTTGGTTGTTCAACTGTTTGTTCGAGAGACACCGTGGTATGCAGCTATCTGATATCTTTTTCAATAGCTTTCTGTCGGAATATGTACGGTTTGAAACCAGGTTTTCAAGGCTTTATCATGGGGCTTGTAGGGATTCTGATGCTACGCAATAACACTAAGCCAAAGAGTCTCTACTCCCACTTGCTTGAGCAGCTTGCCCCAAAAACACATCGAGGATCCCCGAACTGTAAGGCCGTAAAGCGATGAGCATAGCCGACATTGTATTCCACAAACGCTACTCGAGTCATTATTGAAAGCAGGGGCCTTTTCTACGCTTCTCAATAGTTGCATCCACATGAGAGCATCTCGAGTGTGCACCAAAACTCCGAATAAAAACCACCTCACAATTCCCCCGCAAGCCCTTTCCTTGAGCGCGTCCACGCTCTTCTTGACAGCATCCTCCTGCAGCCAAGCTTCTTTGCGGCTCGGTGCTTCGGGGTTTCCAGAAGAAGACGTATACAATGACTCCAATACTCTAGAGTACTTTCGGCGAACTATCTCCAGGAACTCAACCCCGGCCTCCTTGAAAGGCGAAGCTCGCGTGTACCGCGCGCCGTTCTGAGAAGGAGAGGAGTGGCTCAAGGGTGCATAATTCGGCGGCGAAAACCCTTCGGTTGTCGTCGTGTGATTATACTTAGTCGTGCTTGTGCTGCGCCCTAACGATCGCTTCCATGGGCTATTCGGCGGGCATGTTTAGCGCCACGATTTTTCTTTGAGGCTTCGTCGACTCTTGTCGTGCCCACTGAAACTGCGATTGGGGGCTGATCACGGGGAGGGTCAACAGATGTACAAAGGTACTGTTATCCAGTTCTATCCTCAGCCACACTCTCTGGACTCCAACCGAGCCAGTCCCCATAGCCTGACTCTGACGTCCTGTCGTTGTAGTCAGTCGCACTCTAGGCTCCCTACATCAGGAACCTTTTGCCAACACATCATTGCACGGCCGGCACAACCTTAACGTGTCTGGTTCCATGGGCCTCCTTGGCATCAAAATCGTCCTTGATTTGCTTGTACTCCGGGAACTCCTTGCCGAGAGGCAATGCACAAGTATCGAACCCTGCACACACGCATTATGACGCAATGTAGTATAGTTTTGGTGTAATACGGCATAGCAAAATCCGAAGTGTAATGTAATATTCACGTGACACGACGCACTTTATGATGTATGCTATGTGATGTGGTATATAATAACAAACAAACCTAAACACAATGTAACATAACATAACATAGCAAACCATAACACTGTAGTATAGCTGAACAGCCTCCGCGACTTCGTCTTGGGTCACCTTCATCTGTGCGGTGGTCAACACCGTGTTGGTGAACCAATACACACCTGGCATTGGGCTTAGAAATTGCGGGCGGCTGTCAGTCTTGCAGCACCTACGGTCTCCTTTGATATCCGCAAGAGAAGTTGACAGTTTCGTATATGGATCCAACACAGAATCCTCAAGAGTTGAGCACAATCTTCCATTGACCAAATGATTTCCAAACGTCAGAGCCCGCGCCCTTGCTCTCTCTTGTTGGCTTCCCTATTTCCTTGTGGGTAAGTCGAGGGCACCCTCCCCTCATTCAGTGAGTCTCCGTCGAGGTCGAGCCACCACTTGCATAAGCATATGCTTTCCGAGCTCGCGGGGCAAAAAATTAAGGAAGTACCGTCTCAACCATGAGACCAAACCTGCAACAGTTTCAGAAAATCCACAACGGCAACAGTTTCCCCTCCTGCTGCAGCCCAAACCCTGTCCACTTGCAGGTTCATCGGTGGCTATAAACCGCTCTTTCGGTGCTCTACTTCTAATGTGCTTTCATGAATAGGATAACTACAGCTGACGCTCACAGTTTTTGCTGCAGCCTGGACTACCGGCCATTGGCAAAGGGACCCCGAAGCCTAAACCTGTCTTTAATCGGCTAAGTGCATACGTGAGGGGCTTATTGTGGTAAAGTTGCGAGGGTAGCTTTGGAGTACTACCGCTAGCTTGGAAAGGAAGACTACTGACTACTGGTACTTGTCGTGGTAACGGCAACGAAAACAAGAATCTTTTTCTCTGTCCCGCCGCCACGACAACTACTACCACTGTTCCAGCTGCTGCTTCTCTTCTTCTTCTTCTACGCATGCTGCTCCTAGACCAACAACAACAAAGAAGGCAGCAAGCAAGCAGCCCGGCAGCCCCAACACCAACAACTCCACAACCACCACCACCAACGACAACAACCTCTACTCGAATTTGTTTGTGCTTGGGGTATGTATTCCATCGGGGCAGCAGAAGAATCGAGCCCTGTCCTACAGGGTTTTTCAGAAACTCCCATCTCCCCGGAGCTTAGTATGGACGACTGACTAGTCAAACGTGGGTTTGTTAAGGGAGGGAATCCATACCATCTTGTACGAAGGAGCCCAAGAGCATTCTCAAGTCCTTCAGACCCCCTGTTACTGACTCTATGAAGACTAGTTAGAGAGCTTTACTGAAGCTTTAGCCCCAAACTCGCCAAATCCGAAATCCGATCCCATCACCAGGTGCAGGCACCGACTCCAGAGGGGGAGACCAGCGTCGAAATACCGATAAAGAGCCTGATTGGACTCATAGATTGGTTCGGGTCTGTTTTGGGACCTGCAAAAGAAGGGAGGGGTGGGGGGGGGGGGCGTATGCTGTTTCATTGTTGGGCTGCGGGCGCAAGGCTTTAGGACTTAAGCGAAAAAAACTAAGAAGCAGGCTTTAGGGTTAACGCCAAAGGATTTCGGGGTCTGGGCTCGGCTGGTCTTTAAGGATACAGTCCCAGGTCAAATCGCCGCCAGGATTGCAAGTTGTGGGCTAAATGCTGTCCAACTCATCTCGAAGGATTGCGACTTTGGGCGGTCTTCGATAGGAACGAAAAGTTCAGGCTCTTCAAAGATCCAAGTGATGTGGAGGTTTCGGTGCAAGAAACGCTTCACCATTTGAGGATATATATATATATATACACATATAAATATAAATCTTGACGTCCCCGCCAACCTGCACCTCAAATTCCATACCGCCGCACTTGGGTATTCGTCGTCATATATGAAAACCCTGACCATTCGCGAGTTACGGGCCAGGGTTTTCCTTTTTGATACTGACAGTATTTAACTTGAAACGTTTTTCCGGCCCAAGCCACGGGAAGAGGACGCCATTCGTGGAGTTCTCCGAGGAGGGCGAGGACAGCCTCTGTCAGGTTGCAGGTTTGGGGTCGAGGCTTACAGTCTTCGAAGGTGGGGCAGGATGGCGGACACAATTGAGACGCCACATGACGGCGAGAAGCCAGAATCTTAAGCTAGCGCTATACAGCACACCCGGATTAAAAGCAGCTCAGCATTAGGCTTATGGCTGTCAGGATGGCTCCGCTCGTACGAGGGCAGGCATATGTCCCAGCCTGGTTTGATGGTCCCTTTTGTCGCTATGGGGCTTGGATTGGACGAAGCCCTCACATGTAGCTTGCCATATGGGCAAGTTGATGCAAGGATTCAAAGAACCCCTGAGCAACCCCGAAAGTTGTGGGAACGGGACGGTCGCAACTGGCGATGTAGGAGCCCTGCCCTTTGCACGTGCTCCAAGGATCTGGCTTTTGGTCTTAGGCATCTGGGACCTTAACACCGTAGGTTTTGAGAGCCGGAGGCGAAATCGTCTGGCATCCGACTAGCGTCTAGCGTGCTGTCCGAGCCGTGCACGGGGTTTGGCCGAGGGAGAGGAATCGACGCAAAAGGGTGAGACTAGAGGACCATGCTTCGTTTGTCGAGACTTCAATGGCCAAACGGGAGTGTTGGGACTTGGGCAACACTCTGGGGCTCTGCGGAACTGTGTTCGTGGAATGCTAGTGCTGCCCTGAACCGTAAACCCCAAAGCTGTAAACCCAAACCGTACTCCCTTACTTTTGGCTCAGAGTCATACTAGTATGTACGCCAAAACATTTTGTCTTAAGTGCAAAATCTGTTTCCAAAGCAGGCCGCAGCCGTGCCTGGAGGAGAGGAACTGGGCTAGGAAGACCAGCCTCAGGGAAGAGGCTTCGGGTTTGGGGCGCACGGGCCTGAGGATTCCGGGCTTTGAGTGTATGGGCTTACGGTGTTGGGTTTCGGGTGTCGAAACCTTTGATCGCGATTGAAAACCAACAGAAGCTGCTTCAGCAACCGGGTGATGCACGGTTTGAAGCTTGAAAGGTTTCTCAGGCGATCTTCTTCCTTCGGTTTTGGGATCGGGTCCAAATTTCAGGTGATGAATTTCGAGGATAGTTGTGTTCGTGGTGTGGTAGACGATCGATTCCGCAGGTGTCCAGGAAGGTGAGGATGCAGCAATAAAGTGGCACTACCAGTACCACCATTGCGGATACCTGTGCTGGGGTGGTCTTCATCATCGCGCTGTCGCCATCATAAAGGGATCCTAAATTTCCAAACCCTAGTTGCTAGCTGGCACCATCAGCTACTTGCTCCTAAGGGCCCCGACTTCGGGAAAATTGTGCATGATCAGGATTTTGTGCAGGGGAGGTCCGAGCCGAGCAGCAGGGGCAGCACGCAGTACATTGTGGCATCCTGCGCAGGGGACAGCGAGAATTCGGATGTCGCCAATCGTGCTAAGTGCGGTAGCGCCTCAGTTTTGGTTGCTCCCTGCAATCACCGAAGACAAAGTCCCCTAATTTCTTGCACGGCTTTGATAACTTCACAGCACTAGAATGTTTTTTTGAACCCTTTAAAGAACCCTAAGCCGATAACACGAGGAAAGGCAAAGGCACCTGCCAGCCCACCAGTGGCTCAAAAGCTTCGCTGGATCGGGTCTTCAAAAGCCAATCCAGGCCTTCGGCACCAGAGCTACGAAAAGCTTTCAAAGGGGACACACTTCCGCTTTTCTGCTTCTCAAAAGCCGGTTTGGTCGTCTCTTCTCGCAATTTTTAAGCCTTCAGAGTTTAGCTCCTACTTTATGAAGGTGCCTGGGCTTTAGGGGGCTTCGGCACTCACTCTTGCGCGATGAGCAGAGCAGACTTCGCGCAGGAGAAGGCAGAAGCCCTGAAGCATACTAGGTTCTTTCTTCTCTGAAAAACTTAGGCTTTTTGCAGGAAGTCGAAGACAGGGGCTGCAGCTGTACATGGGTGTAGGGTTCAAGGTTCAATCAGCTCTCATTTGCGGTCCGAAGCGCTTGGCCGAAGCCCTTGGAAGCAAAAATTCTGAGGTCTACCTTTTAATTGCCCTTTTTCCCTTGAGGCCCAAAGGGACCCCGAAATCCCTGCAAGCCTGTGCTCTCAGATTTAAAGGAAGATCTTCGCATAGACATCGTAATGTAGGGGCCTTTAATATTTAGAATAGGGCCGAATAGGGTTTTGGGGCCCATTATACTGCATTTATAACAAGGAACCACCCAAAACATCGTTTAGGTAATTATTAAGGCCCCTATGTTACTGTTATTTTTGAGTGGCTTTTGCTTTCTGCCCTCCAGGCGGCTGGGCTTCCCCTGGCTGACCGGGCCGGCGAGGCTCGGAATCCAAAGAAAAGGCTCCTGCGCAGGGGGGCGAATTTTTCGTAGGGCGTAACCGGGTGGATCTTAAGGCCGGGTCCTTCTTCTAGGGTTTAGGGTTTAGGATTCGGGTTTGGGGTTTAGGGCCTTACAGTAAAGGGTCTTGGTGCCTTCGGGGTGTGGCGTTAGCCGACCCTCTTCTGGGCTCGGGCTCCTGGAGCCTTTAGGGCTTAGGGGCCTTTGCCTAGTTGGCGTTTGGTTTCCGGGGCAGTCTGGGGTGATCATGTTCAGGGTCTTGGCTTTGTGATTTTGGCTTCCGGGCTAGGGTTTCCAAGCTTTTAGCTGTTACTCCTGCGTGTGCAGTTGCTCCGCTCTTTCCCAGCCCGCCAGGCCAAACACAACTTATGTTCTTGGGATCTCAGCCCTGAAACCCAGCAAAGACATTGCATTTGTTGGGCAGGGGAGGGCGTCGAAATTGAAGGTTCGCCAGTGCTGTGTGGTGTCCAAGCTTCTGTCACTAAGGTGCCAGTGTGCTTAACGTAGTCCCCATTGGCGATGCATGCTCAAAAAAGTGGTTCACTGAAGACTTGGGTGATGTCTTCAGAAGCAGGTGTTGGCACTCCGCATCTACCTTCCTTCCAGCACCACCGCTGCGATCAGTCCCACAGAGCCTAAAACTATATGCGTAAATGGCTATAGGCATTCACGCAAACCTGTCTCTAAAGCACGGGTGAGAACTGCTTGTCTTTGGCTGTCCCGGCTTACCGGGTGGTCAAGCAGCATCGGCACAATGCCAAACACCAGCCGTGAACCAGCTTCGGGATTTCATGTTCGGGAGTACAGATTGGGGCAGCCTTTGCCGCTGCAAGGACGTTGTATTGCTCTAAGACTTCCCTGCCTCGGGGAGTGCTAAGGCTGAGTCCAAGTATCTCCGTCTTGAGCCTACAAACCCCAAGCCTCACAATAAAAGCTCAAGTTCTTGATCCCCACCAAAACTAGACAAACACACAGCCCAAAGCCAAAGACCCCCGGTGCCTTGAAGTGGTCGTCCTGCGAGGCCAGTCGTCCGATCGCCCGGAAGAGTGCCACGAAGAGCGGAATCTGAAACCTGGATTTACACACAGGTTCGCAAGTTTACAGGATCTTATGGTTTAGTGTTTAGGGGGGCCATCAAGGCAATACTGTGGTTTCACAGGTTGAAGACTGCTCTTGTTGTCCCTGGCGTGATGCACATGTTTGCACAAGGATTGTTTAGGAGTCCAAGGAATAAGGTTTAGGGTGTGGGCTGGGTTTACCCTGTGAAAGCCTGAGTTGGAAATGACATGAATGTATAAAGTTTAGGGTTCGAGCTTAGGGTGATGTCGCATTTCTATCCAGCTAATGTTTGGTGACTGGACGTCAACAAGAGCCAAATTCAGCCTGCGGGTTCCTCGAAACTACAGCCCTCACTTTGCAGCTCAAGCACAGAACCGGCACCAGCGAGAGGAATGGGTTCAGCCCCACCTGGCTCTCGAGTAATCAGCATGTCGGAAATCAGCTGGGCATGCTTCAGAATCCAGAAAGTGCACAAGCAAAACGACTTGCGCTTGCTATACCTTAGAGGAATCCCGAAAAGAATCCAACTATGACCATCAAACACAACAAACGGTGTAGCAGCCCCAGAGGAGCCCGAACAAGAGCAGAACAACAACGAGCTAAGGAGAACATGATCCTCCGACAGTCTCACCGCTTTGCAGCATAAAACCTTTTTTCCAGGAGACCCCGACGATGCCTTTCCAGACTTTTAGTGCCGACAATTTGACATGGTGGTGACAAATCACATGGGGTTGTCACCGGGGCTATGAACAAAAACATAAACGAGCTTAGAAGCATACATCGGCCCAATGCCCAGGACCCTCCCAGGACAAGCAGCCCAGGCACCGACAGGACCAAGACCCCAGTGTCACCCGTTGACAGTCCAGTAGCACGGTTTGGAAACGTGCAGACTTGAGGGGTCCGACTGCTTGCAATTCCTTGTCAAGTCTGCCATCAAATAGCATAAAATCCTAGTCCAATGATTTAGGCCCCTGTATTGGCTGGATGAAAGACGCCCGGGTTGGTCAGAAGCAGGAGACCAAGTGTTAAACACATCTGGGAGCATTGGGTCTGGGGCTAAGGGAATCAAGCGCAGTGAAATCTACAATCCTTACCCCGGGATGCTTACATTTTAAGGTTTTTGGTCGCCAAAACCAAAGCCTCTTAGCGCTTTGTCAGCTCGAGGCGTCGCACTCATAAAATCCCGAATAATTTGACTAGGGTTCTAGGATTCTTTACACTAATTGCTATGCTCGGGGATGCGAAGAATAGTAATCATAAAACCTGAAATGCGGATTTTATCTATCCATCTATCCATCAATCTAACTACCTATCTATCTATTCATTTATTCGTTTTCAGCCCGGAGGTCCACCTTGCCATAGAGATCCCGCAGGGTTTGTCCCTTTTTGTCCTTCGAGATTTAAGGGCACAGGTGGAACAGGGTCTAGGAACAAAGCTTGGGAAGGTGAGGTGTGGAAGTTTGGCTTCGGGTTTTCCCTGTGATCCAGCGCTGGGAACCACTGTTTTCCTGGAAACACGACTCTGAGTTCCAAGCATCTTTGTCGAGAAGAGGATCCAAGGAAGCAAGATGATTCTATGCGTGTACTCAGGCAGCACACACTCCAAAAGCAACTAAGTCAGGTGACCCTTTGGGTGGGCCTGTGCCACTTGAATCAGAACTCAACAGCGCAAGGCTCCTGTTGTAAGCTTTGCAGAGAAGGTGGTTGACCATTAAAGGCTGTTGAGCTTGCTTCAGGAGCAGTCTCTTGAGCGGGCGTCCTCATCATCCTTGTATTGCCGATTGATCTCCTCCAGCTGCGGGGACAGCATCCTAAGAGACAGAGGTGGCGAGCTCGTCAGGCTTGATATAATCCGTAAACCCTAAACCCTATTGCTGTGCATCGTATTGTTGGATGAGGATGCCGGTGCTTCGGGAGCATACTGTTGCCACATAAGCGCTACCACATAAAGCCGAAGCATTCTCTTTATGATTTAGTTGAGATGCAAAATCCAAAAGTCGTTCGGACCCGGTTAAGTTTTTGCAATCAACGGCTGTTCCGCTGCAGGGGTGAGCGCTTGCGAGTTTCCGGGAGTGGAGCTTGAAAGCACTGAAGCTCCAAACCCCGTACCGGAAAATCTCAGGCCCCTGTATCTCTCTACAGTGAGAGTGAGGAAATGTCTACTCTTCCTGACTTCGAACCCCACATGTGGGGTGAACTAGTTGCTACGAGCGGACACAGAGGTGCTCAGGCAATTTCTTTATGCTGGGGCTGTTCTATAGCTTCGCGTCCCCACCAAAGTAACCAGGGAGCTGCAGCAGCGCGGATGCGCGCAACGCCGGCTGCTGAAGTGGGTAGGTGACCACCTGGTTGAATTTCGACGGCTCCGGGTTCTTGCACTCGTTCCGTACATGCACATGCGTGCGAAACGAAGTGCATGCACGAACAGGCAGGTGTCAAGCACTGTAATATGCTGTTTTATCCTGAGTTGCTTGCGTGTCATTCATGACGTTTTTGTGGGTCCGCTATGAATTCGCTGATACCTCCGACGGCCTTTGCTCGGGATGGTCTCTCCCAAGGCTCCTACTAGGCTTAGGCCGTGCACCTTGACAAGGATGGTGTAGAGGATGATGGCTGCGCCAGCAGACCCAATCACGCTGTCGATTGCCTTGCGGACCACGAAGGATGATGCTTTAAGCACTGTTTCCCTAGAGCTAGAACAGCCGCAAAGGCACTCCACTCCCGAACTCAACAACACCAGAACGGGATGTTGGAGTATGGCAAACCCAACCGACGCAAGACGAATCTCTACCCACTACCCTGTTCATATTCATCATTATCAACATGCGCATCACCATCGTCATCATAGTGAGAGTACAATGCAGGCGTATGCATCAACCCGGATGTGGATAGTTCTTTAAACAACACTCGGCACAAGCGCTCTAATGTTGAGACATCATGACCAGGGAGGCTACCTACCCTGCTTATATGATAAAACATATGGGTAATTCTCTAAATTAGGATCTCTGTTTAGCGCCCAACATAGTACGACACCCTTATAAAAAGCACCCTAAGGTGGACCCTAATTTAGGGAACTACCCATACTATTAATTAGGTCGGCCCTGTTTGCAGCTGCCACTGGCGACTCTCAGAACCGAGGGCCTCGATGATGTTGGCGTTCAAAGAGACGAAAGGGTCGAACCAATCACCACCGTCCTGGCCCAAGCAGGAAAGCCGGGTTCAGGCTTCAGGGCTGATGGTTCCCGGTCCAAGGTTCAACCGCACAGTTTCGGCAAAGTTCCGAAACCCTTTACAACAAGCGCTCTTTCAGAGAAGGCTTGGTTCCTAAACGCTCTTGAAGCTTCGGGCCTGGTGCCCCAGGTTCTAACAGCGCTGGGTCTTGGGTCTTGGGCCGATGAATGCCGGCTACGGCCAGATCCTTGAGTTCTCAAGCCTGGACCCTCCAACAAGGAACCTTTGCTAAGCTCCGAAACCGAAAGAACAGATGGTGGTCCTATGTGGCCGAAGAATTCCAAGCCCCGGGTCTCAACGACCAAAGCCTGCAGCCTCGAAAATACCGTAGTCGTAGTCGTTGAAGAAAGAGCCATAAAACGCCAACCCCCCGTCCCTGCGCACCTCGGCGAAAACTGCTGTGGGCGTGACGAGCAGGCCGGCTACAGCTGCTTGGGTCCAGCTTCCTCTTTCGGCACCACCTCAAAACATGACTCAGCCACTGGCTTGGTTTAGTTTTGCTGGCTGTGGTTCCCCCTCTTGGAAAACAGTGCCCGGCCAGGCAGGTGCAGCAGGGGGCGAGTGTTCTAACGATAGGCACTGTCACCCTTCACCCTTACCGTAAAGATCCTAAAAGAGATCCGGATTCAGAGAGGGCTTCAGCCAGCCAGGTACCTCAGCTTCTTCGATACCAGACCGAAGACCAGCTGACGATACGTTTACTTCAGGGCTTTGACCCAGGTTATGAAAATGCTTCGAAGTACACTTTCTGGGATACGGCGCTTACAACCTTGAAGGAAGCTTTGCTAATGTTCCGCGGTTCGAAGGCCCAGCTGTGCCAGCTGCTTCTCCGCCAGATCTCGCAGAGTCCGTACTTAAGGGCACCCCAAACATACATTGGATACCTCACGAAGACCACGAGTTTCGAATTGAAGCAAAGACTATCCCTGGGCGGATGGCTGGAGAAGTCCTCTAGCATCGGAGACCCTACAACGCCAGTCGCAACTTCTACGAACACCTGCAACAGTGCAACAGCCTGCGCCCCGACACCGCAACTCCAAACACGATCCGAGCGGCACTCTGCTGTCGAGGTTGGCTCAGGCCCATGTGCCGGGGCTCTGCCGGAAATCCTCCGTAGGTCTTCCGCAGTCACGCGGTTTTTTGCGCTTTAGGTACTGTAACTTAAATCAATGTAACCTGTGAGCCTTAGACTCTTCTTAAACCAAGTATGATCCAAAACCCTGAAGCCCAAAGCCCAAAGCCCCAAAATGGACGCCGCATTAGCGCCAAGGCACGGCACGAACTGCAAGGAGGAAGCTGCCCTCCAGCTGCCCCACGCGGCCAGCATGGCCAGCAGACCTGGGTCCAATTTAAACGCTGGGTTCTGTCAGGGTTCCATAAAGGTTCTTTAGAGGGCCATATAAGCATTCTATACGATCTCTGGCAGGGCTTTGGTTTAGACGAAAACGTGGGTTCTTTAAGAGTCAAAGACGCCCAAATAGCCATCAACCTCGGAAACGGGCCGTCGCACCCCTCCTACTGCAGTCGAGAGGGCATGTGGTGGGCGTCCGCAGGCGGGCACGGCCGCGTGTCATGGCGGCGGCGTGAGTTTGATTTAGGTGCGGATCACCTTTGGCCCCAGCTTGAGAGACCGGCGGCAAACCCGAACTGGGGACAGGATTGTCTAGCCAAATGTGTATCCTTTAGCTTCCATCAGGATGCAAATCAGCAGCATGGACAACCACTGCTTTCCTCCATGATCAAAATAAGTGGGTGTATGTACACATAAACACACTTTGCATATTTGCAAATGTATATCCCTCCCGGGCTCTCTCTCTCTCTCTCTCTCTCTCTCTCTCTCTCTCCCTCTCTCTCTCTCTCCCCCTTCTC